ACAACAAAATTTAGCACTGACAAAAACAAGCTTCTAGATTGGACAACATCATTATTGATTAATATCATGTAAGTGCATAATTACCAAGTTTTCTACATATTGCATTGGCCCTAAAGACTCACATTCATGTGTGCTCAATGGTTGATCACATATTTCAGCGACAAAGCTGTAAAAACAACAATAAGAAATCACATACCAACATCATTGTTCATTAAAAATAAAACATTATTATATTACTTCAATTCAATCCCTTTTGCGGATACTGAGTTGTACAATTTATCCAAATCAACCGTCGTTCTAGGATCACCAACATAAGTATGCAAAGGTCGTACAAACATCGGTTCAACATTAACATCTCCTTCATCATCATCACCAATGTCAATGACAGCTGGTGGATGCTCATGGGGTACACCTAAAGGTTCTTCATCTGCTTCACTTCCAGGTTCATAATCCCCTTCAACTACAGGTTCTTCATGTACTTGACCTACACCTCCTTCATCTGCTTCACCTACAGGTTGTTCATGTACTTCACCTACACCTCCTTCATCCGCTTCACCTGCAGGTTTTGCATCTTTTCCACATGCAAGTTCTTCAGATTTTCCACCTGCAAGTTCTTCAGATTTTCCACCTGCAGGTTCTTCATAGCCTGCAGGTTCCTCATCTACTTGACCTAAAGGTTCTTCATAGACTGCATGTTTTGCACCTTCATCATTCCACTGAACATCACCAACAGCTTCAACACCTGAACGATCTTCTTCAACCTTTCTACACTTTCGAAGGTGACGAAGTTCCTTCCGAACACCTTTAATTTTTTCTCTGAGACTTCTTATCTTAAGGTTGTTTCTTCTTATTTTTTCCTCAGCTTCTGATTCCCAACTTTGTTCACCTTCGTTCTCATGTCGGTCTGCTGCAGGCCTGCAACATTCAGGCCTTACTCCATCATCCATATGGAAAGCACCACGTATGAGGGGTTGCTGACGATCATGGTCACTAAGGTACCAATCAAATTGTACCTATATCAATGAAAAACAAAAACCTTACTCAAATAACAACATCAATAACACAACAATAAACAGCCAAACATGTTAATAAACTTACATCACTTGTCTTAAACAAAACATCTATTTTTTTCGTCCTTAAATGAAAGGAACGAAATTGCGACACATGCGGGAATATCTTATAAGAACGATGATGATGCAAAGAAAGGCGTTCAAAAGTCCAAAGCTACAATGTCACAAATACAACTTGTCAAATAAATTTTGACAATCACTTAAATGAATACAACAAAAATAAATAATACATCATCATAGTACCTGTAACATAGCAGCATTGCCACTAATACTCAAGGAGTCAACAATCGCTCCAGACAGTATTTTCTTACTACATCTGTTTAGACTACTTACAAGATATTTATGTACAGCACTACCCCAATCATAATGAGACAACCTATCTAAATCATCTAACACTAAACAAGGCATTTTAGAAACAACCCTTGACTTCCTAGGAAAATAAAATACCACCAAACAAACTAATATATACAAACGACAAATCACATCTACCTCAATAGCATCATTAAATACGACCCCATCAAACATATTCATCAGGTCTTTCAAAGTCGTTGTTTTTGGATTGAACATCTCACCTACTTTACCAACTACTGATTCATCGTACGACACCTCCAAACCGCCTACTCCTAAACCTAAAGTCATCAAAACATCAACTGTAGTGAATAGTAGTAGATGTTGGCTAACTCTAAATGATTCATGGTGCTCCACCCATCTACAAGCCATCTCCTTCAACAATTTTAAACTGACCTCTAGAGGTTTAACAATGTATAAACACCACCTAAATGGATTTTTTCTAATGCGCGTTTGATGTCTGGTTCGTAGTAACCAATTCATATGGACAATGTATGATGTATCCATTCATGTTCGCATGCGCCACTGTAAAACAATACAAATTTCAAATATTACAATCAGTGTTCCAAAACAACAACCACAACACAAATAAAGAAACTCTACTTACATTGGTATTACATGCTTCCATTTCGGTTTCCAATCAAGTCAAGACTTAAATAAAAAAATTACCTAGAATAACAAATAACCAAGGGCAAAACCAATTATTTTAATTTTAATCTCCAAAAAAAGTCAAATTTTATTAATAAATTACTATACCCTCTTCTTACACCTTCCAAAATTTAAACCCACAGTTCCCTAAAATTTCACCAAATAAACAATATACAAAATTAACCTATAAATTAAGAAATGCATCAAGTATTCAATGTAACGGTGTGTGAAAAACCAACCTCTTTCGTGCCGGTGTGTGCAAAAAACCAACCTCCACCTCACCAATGTGTGCGAAAGACCAAAACGTTGCCTGAAATATCGCGTAGTAAACCACCAACGAACCTCCAAATTGGGAGAAATGAGATAACTCACCCAATGCGCCACACACATTAAATTTTTACTTAATTCTTGTTGTTTACTTTCAATAACAACTTAAAATAGTATATGAATTTTTACTTATTTAAGTCGTGAATATTTTTCAACTTTTGTCATCTTAACTCTAATGCAAAATAGATTTATTAAGTTTGTGATTTAAGTCTATTTAAAAGAAAATAGACTTAAAAAAAATATGTGGTGACCGTTTGATAAATAAAATTAAATTTTGTTATTTCCTAACATATTTAAATAAATAAAGTTTTGTATCGGTTAATTTTTTAACTTTACATAGTTGCTTTTCTAACATACTTAAAAAAATTGTTATTTTTACATCTTTTATTTTTCTAAGAGACATAAATAAATATTTTTACATTAACTTTTTTTAATCAAATTAAAAAAGTGTTTTAACCTGCCTTCACATTTTCACTTTTAATCCTTCAAACTTTTTTTATTTTCAATCTTTAAACCTTAACTAGCGACAGTTGAAACAACGTTTGTCCAATGATAACAATATTCTTCTAGTAATATATATGAACTAATTTCTTTTATACACGAAGGAGGTGTGTATTTTGTTTAAAATAATAGATTTTTTTTAAGAAAGTGAAATGGTGGGTGAGTGGAGTAGACACATAGAAGTTAGAATAATAAGAAAAAAAAAACAAACTATTTAGATTATGCATATTAAACAAAAGGTATTTTAAATTGGAGTTAAATTTATGAGAAACAAAATATGATAAACAAATAGAGTTTGACAAGATAAAATAAGAAATGAGCAATGATCAACGATAAAATAAAAACTATTTTAGATTATAGTTAAATTAACGAAAAACAATAACAATTTCATATTTTCACCTCTTCATCTCGAAAGTTTTTTTTTCATTCTCAATAATATATATATAATTACTTTAGAAAATGGATGTGTAGTTTTATATAGGTTTAATCATTCATGAAGTACTTATTTTCGCGTGGAATCTCAATTTAGTCCCGTTGTTTATGGAAATCTCAATTGGGTCCCAAATTTATGAAAATTGCAACAATTGGATCCTTTCCGTTAAATTGTCTCCAACGGCGTTAGTGTGTGTTTGACGTGGCACACTGTAGTCAGTTTCTTAACTGACGTGGCACGAGTTTTTTAATTGACGTGGATTAATGTGTGCACACCGTCACCTTCCTCACGGCATATCCGTGCCCATTAAGCACACTCACCGGAACCCTATTGTTCCTGACATTTGTAGACGGGGTTCCAGACGACGGAGTAGACGCAATAGGCGTGCTCCTTGAAGGTGCGGACGCTGGTGGGGCAGTCGAGGGTCGAGAGCTTGACGGTGTCATCCCAGGAGGAGGAGAGGAAAGAGTCGCGACGGATGGGGTTGTAGTCGGCGGAGTGGACCTCACGGGTGTGTTCCAGGAAGGAGCGAATCGGGTTGGAAGTGNTATATATATATATATATATATAATTTAAGAAAAACAAAACAAATTTTATAAAATAAGAGTAAAACTGGCGAAACCAGTCAATCTGTCCTTTAACACTAATTCCAACCTAATTTTTTATTTTGGTTAAATACATAGTAAATTTTAGGGTTAAATATGTTTTTTAGTCCATAAACTGTTAAGAGAATTTGTTTTTAGTCTTTCTTTCAAAGTAAGGTACATTTTATTCCTCCTTCTTCAAAAAAACCTTAATTTTTGGTCCTTCTGGAAGGATAAAAAATTAATGTTTTTGTTAAATAGAAGGACTAAAATGTACCTTACTTTGAAAGAGGGACTAAAAACAAATTCGCTTGATAGTTTAGGGACTAAAAACATACTTAACCCTAAATTTTATTCCTAAATTTTATTGTTGTAGTTGAAAAAAAATGTTCAACTTTAGGAAGACAAAACTAATACAATTTTGTTAATAACTTATGTAATATTGATTAAATAGTCAATTTAATATAATAAATATGTATATATTTTATATTTAATTCAATTTAATAATTCAACTTATATTTAATTTTTAATAATTTAATATATAAAATTTAAATTAGTAAAATTTAAATTTAAATTATAATATTTTATCATATTGAAAATAAAATATATTATTATTTGTACTGAACTGTTTTACTATTTTACAAAATTTTATTTGTACTGAACTGTTTTACTATTTTACAAAATTTACTAAAATGCAAAATATATTTTATTTTCCATTTTAGAACATGTGTTTTTCTGAAATCTCATATTAAAATTGAGTAAATTCATAATATTTTTTTATTTAACAGAATGACAAACGTAACATAAGAACAAAAGTAGATTTTTATAAGTCCAAACTATTGTCACGTGTTGCCGCCTTACGAATCTAGCCTACTGTTTGCCCCAAATCCAGAATGAGGATCTTCCATTACGTTCACACTTTTGACTAAAATACCAAATAATAGAAACCCCCACAAAAAGAAGAAAAACCCCGACAAAAAAAAAGGAAGATAATCCACCATAAATACCAACCTTGATGCACAAGTTTTTTTCCCTCTTACTCTCACCAAACCTTAAAAGCAAAAACCACAGCAATACTGTATTGTTCTCCTTCTTGCTTCTGTCTTCTCCTTCTATCATATTCTATGCTCATTGGCCATGACCCAAACCATGTCTGGCCCAAATGATTGGCTTCAATTCTACAATCAACATCCCGTACCATCGATCCCTGACTTCACTGTTACCACCACCACCACCACTCCAGCCACCGTTCCAACAAGTTCTGACTTCCCAAATACCAGTCCATCAACTTCAACCCATTTAGGTCCAGAAGGACGCGTGGGAAAACCTACGCGCCGTCGCTCTCGGGCCTCACGGCGAACTCCGACCACCTTGCTCAATACAGACACCACAAATTTCCGAGCCATGGTTCAACAATTCACTGGAGGCCCGAATGCACCCTTTGCAGCAAGCCCATCAGCAGCACCTCAGGTGCTGCCGAACCTCTTGGGCTTTGGGTTCCCCTCACGCCCTATCCCTTCTCTAAGCCCAACACCCCTTGTTATGTCATCATCACCCCCTCTAAGCTACCACCATCTTCATCAACAAGGTCAACATCACCAACAACAAGAAAACATGTTTCAGCACCAAAACCAACACTACAATCTGTACAGTGATGGTGGCTCACAAGGTGAAGACCACAACAGCAACAGCAACATGTTTTTTCAGAGGCTAAGTAACAACCCAGTGAGTCCTCCAGCAAGCAATCGTGACGGGCTGGTGAATTTGGATCAGGGGCGCTTCTTCCCAAACAGTTCTTCTTGATTGATTTAAGTGCGTATTTGATTCACTCGATAGATGCAGATCCTTAGTTTGGAGTGAAATTGAAATCACATATTCAAGATTTCCAAACATGCACCACAGAAAAACACAGAAGAAGGAAATTGAGCACACCCTTCTGAGTTGTGAGGTCAAGTTCTTGTTCCGTGGGAACACGGGTAGCAGGTTTTCTCTTTGATCCGCATGCTAAGGCTTGAAAGAGACATAAAGCAGACGGTTAGGTGCTAACTTGGCCAGAATTGTTGACCCACCTATGTAAAATATAAAATATTATCATATAGTACACTCTCATTTAGCTTTTTTCTTTCTTTTATTGTTATGATAATATTACTATTATCTTATTACTGTTATTTATTTCTTTCTTTTTTACTTTCATACTTTTTGGTGGAATTGGACTCTCTTCTAGATAACCCTTGGATGGTGCTACTACTTTCTTTTCTTTGTCTTTATACTTGATTAATTTGTGGCATTGTTTCTTTTATTTCTTTACTTGGTAACGATGTATCTCGTAGAAATTATCAAGCGAAAAAATAAACATATTGAATGATGAAAAATGAAAAATTTAATTAAAGAATTCAAGATTAAACTACATTATAACAGCATACGAAACAACCTCAAATATTTAATTGAGTTAAATTAGAAGATATGTATTCACATGAGCAGTGATTATAGAGAGTATTAGAAAATGAAAAAATAAATAAAAAAGTTCAAAGGTTAGAACTTGAATAGGGGTAACTGGGTCGCCGTAGTTGGCATGGCAAGCAGTGCTAAACTTTTGACAAAATTGTGTTTACATAAGTTGACTTGGTTATTTGTGTTTGTGATACGAGCGTACTTGGTGGTGAGCGTGTTTTACGTGGGTTGTACGTCTGCCATTTGGAGTTATCGGGTGTTTTACATTTTCACATAATACATATAGAGTGTAATTTGTTTGTTTTTATTATTAAAATAATGTGTATTATGAACTAATTCAAAATTATTATGGTAAAGAAAAGTTTAGTTATTAGAAATTTAAATTTATTAATTTGATTTTTACTTGAATTACTAAATAACATTTCAAAAAAATATTTTAATAATTTCGAGCAACAAGTAAGAGTATCATAATAAAGGGGAAAAATCAACAAAAATAAACAAAAAATGTAATAATTTTTGTATCGGTCTTAATTTTAGTGAAGTCTATATCCTATTTTAATCAAAGCAACCTGAGATTGTTCTTAAAGTTGAAAAATCAAAGTTATATACATACTTTGCAGGAAAGATCATGCACAATAATATATGAATGCTTCTTAAAAACTTATCAAAAAGAGCTATAAAGAAGTGTTAAAACCTATTATGCAACAACACCAAACCTAGTTATTAAAAGAATTTGAAACGAAAAGCATTTGTAAAAAATAAATCAATATGAATTTTAGATCTGAAAGGTGGCTTGCCCATCCTTCTAGGAAGACTAAGCTCGAGACTAATCTCAAAATACAAAAGTTAAATCTTGTAAGAGGATTCTTTGTATATGATAGTGCCATCAAAATGGGTTGAAACCATGAGCCAATCCGGCTCATCACGGGTTTGAGCTGGGTTAGGTTGAAAAAAAATGCAAAATTTTTTATGTAAGCCAATTTTGACCCGATTCACTAAGAACCCGGCTCACACATGTTGAACGCATGGTGGGTCGGGTTGGTTCACCAACCCACCTATTTTTTTTAATTAAATCAAATTAATTAAATTAATTGTTCAAATCCTATTTTTTTTTATTGAAATCAAATTAATTATTAAAAACGCACAACCTTTAAGAAGAAGATGCTTCAAGAGAGCATGATAATGTGGATTTATCCATTCAGAACTCCAATTTAATAGATGGATAATATTATAGATTGGATAATTCAAGAATATATCATTTGTTTTATCCATTTTTTAGACCTATCTATAAGCATAATAGTTTTATCTTATGCTATATATTTTTGTTAAACTAAATTGGCAAAATTTTATGCTTGATAGCTTAGAATATATATTAACATATTTCTTTTTGTTTCATTTTCTTTTATATCAATTGGTCCAATTATTACTGTTTCAATTTGATCGATCAAAGCAACATGTTATAAGAATCTCAGAAGAAGAGGTGAAAAAAAAGTTAATTAAGTGAGCCAATGAGCCAACCTGTTTAACCCACCAACCTGTGGTAGGTCGGGTCGGGTTCGAATTTTTCGGCTCGCTAATAAATGAGCCGGGTTGGGTTGGCTCACTAAGTGGTCAACCCGTGATGGGTCGGGCCGGGTTACCCGTTTTGACAGCTTTAGTATATGACAATGACTTTATCGATTTTTTTTCTTTGATATAGTGTTTAACTTTGTCATTTTTATTTAATGTAAGACTTTGACTCACACTTGGATTATTCACTACAACACGTTCTTTAGAATCCAATTTTGGTAGAAAAAACACCTAATACAAAATACACTTTTTATACCTATTGAAATCCATAAGGTATAAAAAGTGGGGTGGTGACAATATCATAAATAAGACAAACTTTTTTATACCGATTACACTCTAAACAAGTATAAAAAGTAACACGGTGGAAAAACGGTAATAAATGACAAAAAACTCTATATCGATTATAACAAAACAGGTATAAAAAGATGTTTTTCTATGCTGGTTAAACCTACAACCGGTATAAAAATAACATAATGACAAAAATATAAGATTGGAGAATTTTTTTTATACCTATTAAACACTACAACCGGCATAAAAAAACATCTACTTCCAATTTAATCTAGAGTTGAAAATAGTGTTGCACTTGTGTTTAATTGGAAAGAACCCTAGAAACCAAATCTCTAGTATTAATTGAGTACAATACTCCATAGGTATATCTCCTCATCACAATTTTAAGAAGGAAGAAGATTATCAAAAAGTGGAAGATCCTTTGGTTGAAGCAATGAAAGAAGAATTAGATGAATTCAAGAATGAGGTATGAGAAATCGTTGAGCTACCTCAAGGAAAGCACGCATTTAGAGTTAAATGGGTCTATCACAACAAACTAGATGAAGATGGGAAAGTGATGAAGGCATATTTATGCACTTATTTAGCCTTTAATAATTTATTCTTAATTGGTTTTTGTACTTTAATAAAATATTTTAAATAAGATTTTTTATAATTGGATGTATTTAGCATGAGATATAAAAACATGTTAAAAATAACTTTTTAGTTGCATAAATGTTCTTTGGATATTTTGAGGTGTGTTAGTGTAGTTGTAACTAAGTATAACTCATTGAGGTGTGGAAATAAATTGGTTAAAGTTTCATAACACCTTAAAGACAAATCCAAGAATAGAAAATAATCAAGACCATAAGGGTCAATCCAAGCATAGCATGGAAAAGTGAAAAAATTTGGCTAAGCCAAGAAGAGGGAACATGCAACAAAAATTGGATCTTGCGGTTTTTGTCTATTTTTTCTATTAAAAGGGCTTTGATAATTGATAAATGCCTATGATTAAAGATAATTTGGGAAAAACATATCTTAGGATATTTTATTTGATATTGTTAAATATTACCTTATCTAACTATATCAATAAATATCAAAATATAATATTTACCAAATCTTTTTTAGTCTAGCATATATCTTCTCAAATATTTTTAGATCTTCACAACAATCAAATATATTTTGAAGATATTGGATTATTTAGAAGATAATTGGAGGAAATAATTATCATAAAGAAGATTACAACAACAAAAAAGCTGAAACAATGTCCAATACAAATTCTATATAAAGAGACTTAGGAAACCACATTAGGGGAGCTTAGGAACCCTTTGGGGGGTTCAAATTTCGTCCACCCTCGCTTCTCTCATTGATTGTGCTGTAATTCCTTAACTGGATTCTGGCTTTAGATGAATAAATTTGTTTGTTCTTTTGATTCTTGTTGTGATTTATTTTTATCTATGTCTTTTGCTTCTTATAATAAAGTAAAAGTAATTATTTTTACATTATAGCAATTTAGCATGATGTCAAATCTACATAATATATCAATCATATAAGTCCAAGGGTAGCATTAATGGTCCCAATTTTTGTTAGTTTTATTCGAAATGGTCCTAATTTTTTTTAAACTGTTCAATGTAGTCTAAAGATTGTAATTTGTGTTCAATTTAGTCCTTTTTGCAAACGTCGTTTAAATTGTTAACGACCAACTGTCCAACTGTGCAATCAGTGAATGACATATCATTTAACTGCTGATGTGGACACTTTAAGGCATAGTGAAGTGGATTTTTTTATATTTGGAAGTGATTTTCAGAAGAGCCCCTATGCCTTCACCAGATTCTATCGCGCAACATCGCTACAGCAGATCCTGCCGCCCACCAAACACCCTTTCATCCCAAAAAATGGTCTGATTGAGACAAAGGAGTCTTCCAAGACCATCGACTTCTCTTATTGTAATTCCTTCGCCTTCTCCTTCACTATCGACACTCCAATAAGTTTGAAGATGACTTATATTCCACTGGATGATTATTCTTCGAGGAGATACAGACAGAAACTGATTAAAGGATCTCCTCATCCAAGGTGCATAAAACAACATTACATCGTGTTCTGATTTAACTTATCCACCCCTTCAATTCCCACTTTAATTTGTTATTTCACCCTTCGATTTCAAATATCAAAATGTACCCTTGTTCTGTTAAATTGATTTTGTTTCCCTTTTTCTCTTTCCATGTCACTAAATTTAGAAAGATCTTATCATGGCTTGGTTTCTGTCATTTCCATGTTTTATTGTGGATATTTAGTTTTTGATGCTTCTTTACTCCATATTTCAACTTCACCAAGATAAACTTGGATATTTGGTTTTTTGTTTTTCTCTCTTTTTGATATTGTGCTGAAACAATATTTTTTGGAATAAGGTTTTCTTTTTTATTCCTTTTTTAGTTTTGGTAGGTCTGGATGCTAGCTTTTTTATGCTTCTAATGTGTGTATATTTAAATTATTATCAATCTTATCATCTACATTTTAATAAAATCGATTATGCACTTTTACGTTTTCTGCAGATAAATGATTTTCCCTTTTCTCTGTACTCAAATTTTGTGATCGAGACCCGTCATTGTTTTAATAAGGTTCATATTCTTTCTTCAAATTCAATCATCTATGTATTATTTTATTGAGATTTTTCACATCTGAGTATGCGAGTTTCTTTTGCAAAATTTATATATGCTTCTATCCTAACATTTTTATGATCTTTATACAACAAACGCCATGGTTATTCTTTAGGGACATGATTAAAGGAATTTTCCTTGCTGTAATAATTGGTCCACCTATTTATCTTGAATTATTAAGTGCAACAGTGTTAGAGTGTGTCCAGCGCATCCCATCACA